CCGCCAGCTGCTTCTCGCCAGAGCCCGCAGCCTTCCGCTCCATGAACATCCTGTCCATGTGATGCACAATCATCGCATCCAGCACGGACGGCGCGACATCCAAGTCCTAGGGCATGAACTTGCCGATGTAGTCAGCGCACTGGGCTCGCGTCCGGGGCTGCAGCGCAGCTTGCTTCAGAATCCCGCGCTGCTGGCTGGTGTCCCGAAGCTCACCGTGCTTCTGAAGGCAGGCCGCCTTTGCCAGGTGCTCGTTCTCGATCTCGTTCGGGCCGAGGTCGGCGGCCCGCTCGGGCCGCCCCAGAATGGGGTGCCCCCTGCCAGCGCCCGCCGGCGCAACAGCCAGGAGCGCCGCGGACGCCTTCAGGTCCTCGGCTGGCGCAGCCTGCCTTGCTCCAATCGTCGGCCGCGCTCGAGGGGCCAGAAGGGGCCTCTCCCGACGCGCTATCACACTCTGGCCCCCTCGTCTCCGATGACTCCGAGTCGCAATCTCTTCTCGGGGGTTCGGTTGACGGATGTGGGTCGGAGATCTCGTGAGGTGCCGATGGCCCGCAGCTGCCCAAGTCGCGCGTCGCTTCACGCCTCCTGGACGGCCCATCCGCCGGGTTTACTTCCGACGGTAACCACCGGCCGAGAAGCCTTGAGCCAGTGGCAAACATCCAGGAGGCCGCTCGACGATGCAACATCAGAAGACTAGGGTTACGACATCGCCCTTTTGATAGAGATAACATCAACCCCAAGTTGCCCCCAAGAACAAGATGGTTCTTGTGCCGCCCAGACTGATCACCCAAGAGTCGCTTGCGCATGGTACCAAGGAAACCCCGCATCTCCGAAAGGTGGATAGCCTCTGGATTGAGATGGGCTGGTCATTTGCGGTATTCGAGGTCAGGCCCTCTACGAACCTGTGGGGCACCTCAGGGAAAACAGGGTTCTTATCTGGGTCGTTACCATTCGGATCCTCGCGCTTTTCCTCTGTGGTGTCCAAGAAAGCCCGTTGCCGAGGCTGGTAGACAGAGGGGTCTTCAACACGGTCTCCTCTTTTGTATCGCCAGCGCTCGTGCCAGACACCGATCTCCCGAATCTGCTCTACATTGGCGGTGCTCTCCACCGTCGCGCGCCCGCTCTCGCAGACGTCGAAAGCGGTCGCCCTCGAGTCCCAAGCAGACCAAGTGCCTCCGAGCAAGAATCAACAGGCCTTGCACCATCTTCAACTCGCGCTCCACACTGGACCAGAGGGACCGGGGCACCATAGACTTGGCCGACACGAAATCGTAACATGTCCACAGGGAACACAACAGCTCGCGCCTCAGGAGGGCGATGAGCGTGAAATGCCCCAGGAGGTGTTCCATCTGCTCATTGACGATCCTCACCTTGTTTTTCAACGGTGCCTGGATGACAAACCATAACTTCCACCTGCGAGTCGGAGACAGGTGCGCCGTCTGGTGATTGCCATCTTGCTCGGCAAGCAGAGTGCTCATGCGCGCCGATGCCTCGCTGAAATCGTGCGTGGCGTAGCCGGCATTCTCCAACGGCTCAGCCGCCCGCTCCCCCATCCTACCCACCTCTTCTGCATTGTGTCCCTCCGCCAACACATTATCAACGTGGGGCGAGTGGAAGGCCCGCTCTTGCGCAGGGGGGGGCGTCGAAAGTCGCCTGCGCGCCGACTCTCTTCAAGCGCGGGGTTCTGCTCGAGAGCGCGTTCATGAACGCGCTGAACGATGCGCAGAGCCCGCTTCCAGCCTATCGGGGCAACCTTAAGCAGCGGGGACAACTTAGTGTCTGGGTCCACGGAGACGCCCCCTATGCTAGTGGCACCTAGATCCTTCGCCAAGACAGCATCCAACCCAAACTAATATGATGACCATTCTGGCATTTCATGTTGATAGAAAGCGCTCTGTACACCAGCGCCCTAGAAAAACAGCCCCCCCCCCCTGGCTCAACATCTACCTCGAGAAGCTAGCACCCGAGAGTGGATGCACATTTGGGGGTCCTTGAAGTTTTGATTAGACCGCCTACAATCCGGGATGATCCGAATTGTCTCGTCTTTCTTTTCGAACAATGGGGGGGCCTTCTTCAGTCCGTCTGAGACTCAGCCTAAAGAGGTATCGCTTGAGACCATCCTGCACACACTCAACATACTTAGACGGCTGTCTAGAAAACGCCGCATCTTTGTAGAGAGTGGGAGCTCCTTCGAGCTCGCAGCGCGAGCCAAGCCCCGCGCGTGGAAATCCCAAGACATCCGGGGGGGCGGAGGTCAAGACATCCACCGGTTTGTTCTCGCAAGCGGGCCAACTCACGGCTTCCCGGGCGTAGGGCCGAACCGCGCTGCTGTCGGGCTCCGGCGAGTAGCCTGGCGGCGCACATCCCAGAAGCTCTCGCAAGGCTTCTTCGGAAACCAATTCAGGGGGGACAGGGGCATGGTCCCGATGCAAACCAATAAGATCCTCAAAGACAAGGTTGGAAAATCCCTGCGGCCCAGCCGACGACCCGTGAGGATCGCATATCCAACAAGCAAATTGAGCGCACTCATTGACTGACGAGCCATGTCGTGACATGCGATGCGCCTGCCAAGCCGACGGCAGGTGCCTCGCGAAAAAGAACCTTCACGTCGCGGCAGCGGCGGGGGCGCAGCCAGCGGGAACAAGCCGTCGCCCGCCTCGGGCGCCGCCTCGCGCCGATGAAGAGAGCCTCTGCGAGCAGCGCGTGGGCCGAGGGCCCCCCCCCCGTGCTGCGCATCACCCCGAAGCGTCTTTATTGCCGCCGCCCTTCGCTTCGAGGGCAGCAGCCTCCTCTCTCGCCTTGCGACGCTGCTTCAGCACTCCCGTCCACTTGCGCTGCACATCTGTCGCATGCTCTGCACGGGCAGGGCGCGGAGCTACCGCCGCGCTTCAGACCACCTGCGCGGTCGCGGCCGAGGTGGTGCTCCGGGCCCTCCACCTACAGGGAGCTTTTGTAGTCTCTTCGCATAGCTGATACATTCTGCGAATGACCTCGAAAGACCCGAGGTTGGCGACATCCAGCTGGTCGTAGCACACTCCGAGATCTAACGCCAGGCCCAAGAGGTCGTGCATCAAGAACGCCGTGCTGTTGCGATCCACCTCGCGTTCGAGGCCCACTTCGTCTGTCGACCATTGAAGGTTCCTCCACGGTCTCGAACATAGCGAATCAACCACATTGTGGACCTCTCGCCTTCCAAAGGGAAGTCCTCCATGGGCTCTGCGTGCATCCTGCCGGCCGAGCTCGCGAAATCGCCCCAACGCCGCCCGCCTGTGTCATGCCGAACGGGTGCCAGGATGCGGGCATCCAGCAGGCCCTCCTCGGCGATGGGCTTCAGGGCGGCGTCCCCAAGGCCCGCGCGAGGAGAGGCGACCTTCGGGGTCTCCGTGCCACCTGGAACGCGACGAGCAAAGACAAACACTCCTGGCGACAACCTCACAAGGGCCCGATCTCCTCGAACGACATCTGAGTACTTGAGCATCACCTCCGTGCCCTCGCGGACGTCGGCGACACTCTCCACGGTGACCCAGATCTCGCCCTTGCCTTCATCACCCAACGCCTCCACCTCATGGCCCGCGCCCGTTCCCGCACCCTCAGACGGGGGAGGCCCCTCCAGAGGGGGGAGCGGCGGAACGCCAGCACCGCCTGGGCCGCGCCCTGTGCCCGCGCCGCCGAGCCCACGTCCAGGAGCACGGGGGGGCTGCTTGCCGCGCAGACGGTGTGGTGCAAAACGCCGGCGGTCTCCATCAGCCCCCACGATCTCGCTAGGAGGCTCCACCTGGTCATCGACACCAGTTTCACGGAACTCCTGCACACAAAAATCCATCATCACCTTGAAGTCGTCATTGTCCGGGTAGGCCCCGAACCGACAGAACGACCCCACCAGCACCGCGGAGTTGGCGCCCAGGTCATCCGGGAGTACCGCCTGCGACGGTCCAGTAGATGGGTCTCTGCACAGCACGTCCTCTTCATAGAGGTCCCCGTCCGGAGTCCTGATGTAATCGTGCTTGTTCGGACAGGAAAAGACCAGAACGCGCTCGTGCCATACATTGTCGTCCGTGTAGTACACCGCGAGCAGGTTGCCTGGTACCAGCCTAAGCCAAAACTCCTAGGCTCCGACGGCGGTCACGTCCCACCGTCCCGCAGGCGTAGGCGAGCCAGGTGCCCTCGGGACAGTCTCCCCGCAACCAGCGCCATCCCGACGACGACAACGGGCCAGGCGGCCAGCGGCAGCCGTCAAGGCGCGCCAGGCCAGGTGACCGAGGAAACTCGCGCAGACTTCGGACTGTAGACGTCGGCCAGCAGACTGTAGACGTCGGCCTCTGGCGGGGCCGACGCCTCGCAAAAGGGGACACACCACACTCGGACTGGGTTCGCCCTCTGGCCCGCCGGAGCCGGCGCAGCTGAAGGCGTCAAGCTCCTGGATCAGAGTGTGGCAACGCGCGTCCGAGCTCCTCGCCGACTCCTCCAAGTCGGCCCACGTGGGCGGATCGGCCGCCCCAATCGAGAACAATGTACTGTCGAGAAGACGGTCGAGTTGCCTCAATGCCAGGACCCCTCCGATGGTGGCCAACTGACGGATTGTGGATGCCACCAGAGCGGAGGGGCCCATATGCCAAATGCTTGAGAGAAAGAGAACTACGGAGAGAGCAAACTCCTTCAATCCACATGAACCCCATGCCAGCATACCTAAGACCCCTTCGCGAAACGAACCTGAACTCCCCGCTGTACACACCCCCAGACCGCCGCGAAGACCGCGAGCGGGACATACCCGACCTCAACGACGAAGAGCCAAAATGGGGAGCGCGGGGAAGGTGGGATGTGGGTCGCGGGGAAGGGAGGCCAGGGACGGGCGCGGGAGGAAGCGCGGCATCGGCGGCGGCAGCAAAGGAAACAGTGCTATTCGCAAGAGTGGCAGGAAGCGGGGCACAATCCACAACAACGTCACCGCGGCGGCAGCCGTGGCGACGCTGGGTGATCTTATGCGCATGGGGCCGGCCGCCAGCCTGAAACTTGTCGTACCGGGCCTCCAAGAACTGGCGGAGAGTGCCGAGCTCAGGCTGAAACCTGCCCCGTCAGAGCCGATTTGTTCCTAGGGCTGCCGATTCCGATCCAGCCAGAATCCGTTTCGCGATACGCCCTCCAATTCCAAGTCTATACCTGCGGCAAGCACTGCGTGGTAATATACAGACCTGTCTACATATACCATGGCTATCTGCGCGAAGCCTCCCTTCAACCTCCATGACACTGCCATCCAACGTGTACTCGCGAACTGACTCGTGGCTAACAATCAGATGTTGTGCACGTTGCTACCCGCGTAAAGATTCTCACCTCAAGGTCAGTGGCCACCAGTCCTGCCAGACAGCCCGATGTATGAATCGCTTGTGTGAAAGACAGGTCAGACGGCCGATAGGCGCTTGCGAAGCTCTGTCATGGGTGTCGACGACACCCTGGAAACGCTGGCTCTGATCCATATGTTTCTCCTTAACTTTCTCCGGGACGCTGGAGCTCCTTCGTGTTCCTCCCCTCCCCCTACTCCTCCTCCTCTTATTTACGGTGGGGAGCTTTTGCTTAGCGTGTCGCGGCGGTGGCCCCGGCGACAAGCCATGCCCTGCAAACTGATACTTTGTCGCTCCGCTCCGCGGGAGGCTAGGAAAGACTCGGAACGTGGATGTTCGGGGACTGGGACGTGGTTAGCGAGCCATGCCGCAGCGTGGCTAGACAAGCGCGTCCCACTACCCGCAACGTAAGTACTCGCAAATGGCATGGATCCGCCGCGGGACATTTACGATCTATTTCATATAGGAAGAGATGTGTTTGGTTCGGACGCTTGCGAGTAGGCACGTTGCGAGTAGCAGAACGCGCTCGGCGAGTGGTCGGCCAGAGCCGGCGGAGCTACACGGCAAGCAACAGGTCCCAATCGTACTTGCAACAAGCCTGGCGACCTGAGAGAATATTGTACGCGCCAGTGATCGACTTCAAATCTGCCCCGATGCTCTCCGTGGCGTCGGGCCGTGGCCTCCGCCGAAACATATGTTTTTTGGGGAATGGGACGGGGTTGCGTGGTCGTGCGTCCGAAGGCCTTCTGACAGACGCATCTTCCGCGGAGACCTCGCTTTTTCTCACTCGATGCACGCGAGACTGCGTGGCAACTCGCAGACTTACTGTCAATGCATCCTGAGAGCATGGTACCTTCTTCGAAGGTCATCCCCCTGCTCCCCCCCCGCGCAACCGAAGGACGGTGCACCCAATCACCGATGCCCCTGCCTTGCTGATCACCGCATCTCTCCGAAACCACGGGTCGGCGGCACCGCAGAGGAGGGAGGACGGAGACGACACGGGGGGGCACGGGGCGAGGAGAGAAGGAAAAGGGAGCATGAGGAGGAGGAGGCGGCGGAGAGGTTTTATTGTTGCATGTTATCATGTTGCTACTTTTCTCGGGTCCGATGCAGAATCACAGACAGAGCTCCTCAGCCTCGTGCGCACCGCAGGCAGCCAGCGGCGTGATCTCGGTGCAAACCGAAACAGCATAAGACAATCGTGATGAGCGTGACAAGGAACAGCAACGTAAGGTGTAAGAGGAACGCGTTGTCGTACAATCCTCTTCTCCTACATTGCGAATTCGGCAGTGGCCGACCTTCCTGGACGGGGTGAGCTATCGCACCCCTATCGGCGATGAATGGGCGATTGGGGGTGGACCAATCTCCCCTGAGCCAGCCAGTCCCTCCCTAACGTCACCCGACATGGTTTTCGAGTCATAACTCGGCTCTCCAACGGCCGTTCGGGGCGCTACGGGCACCCGCGGAACGCCCTCGGCGAGGCGCAGCCGCGGGAAGGCATGCCGAGGCTGGGAAACCGCAGAGAGCAGGCGAAAACGCCCGAAAACCTCGAACCCGAAGTCTCCCTCCTCCCTCCTCCTCCCTGTCCTGGTCCCCCTCGCACTCCCAGTGGGCGCCCTGCTTTGGTCCCCCTTCTCCTCCCTGTCCTGGTCCCTCCTGCCTCCCTGTCTTGGTCCCCCTCCTCCTCCCTGTCCTGTCCTCGTTTCTCCCTCCTCCTCCGTGTCCTGTCCCCGTCTCCCTCCTCCGTCCTCCTCCCTGTCCTGGTCCCCCTTGCCCTCCCAGTGGCATCCGACGGACTGCGGCGGCGGCTCGCCCCCCCCCCACCCCCCCCACCCCACCTGCGCCCCCAGTCGTCCACCCAGACCTTCCCGGTGCCCCCCTGGTCGATGAGTTGCGCCTGGCGAGCTGCGCGCTACGCTGCATGGCGTCAGAGCGCGAGGCAACGACGCTGCACAGAGGCTAAATCCCACACGGCGTGCGAAGCGAACTGCAACGGCATGCTCGCGTCACGACCCCAGCGCTGGTTTCTGACACTGCGAGGATCGTTCAGCCTTGAACGGTCGTCGGCTTTTCGATTGCCAAATCATTCCGTATTGGCCCATTCTTGGCCACTGACGGTGTTCAACCTTGAACGCCTGCAGCGCGGATGGCGTCGCGTCTGCTCGACACGAAGCTACCATATGCGGTATCAGCGAAACAGGCTCTGGCCACGAGGTTCCTTGCGTCTGGCTGCGTCTGGGGCAAAGAGAAACGAACACGCGGACGCATGTGTGCGTGTATGAACGAGCCGGTGCGCACGTCTGATATATGTGTAGATGCACGCATGGCAAAGGCTGCTGTCCTACAATTATGATGTGCGTCTACTGCATGATGCCACCGTGTCGATCCCAAGCAACGCATTATGTGACATCGAACAGTCAGAAATGAGCAACTCATAAGATCCAGCTCTCGCGCTACAATATATGGGGTGCTATCTAGGGTGTGCAGCTTGCACGGTGCAGCGTGCGGGGCGCCGTTTATGGGTCGCAGGTCGCGGGGGGCACCGCATGTGGCGCAACGCAAAACATTTTAAGACTTGCAACCTTTGCGAAACTCCCTGTGGTCTAACCCAGAAGGCGAAAGGCATTCGCGGGATCCCGCAGGCTAGACCATGGACGAGGCGTTGTGGGCGGGACTCTGTAGCCAGGACCCCGTGGGTGGGTGGAGCCGTGTGGCTGGGCCCCCATGTGCGGAATCCTGTGGACGAGAGCCCTGTGCCTGAATCCACGGAAGCGTTGCTACGAGAACGTGTGGGCCATCGCCTTGGGCAGCAAGGATGAGGGTCCACCCAGAGATCGCCTGGCCAGATGCCACACACTCTGAGGACCATGGCCTTTGACAACACCAACTTCAAACGAGGGCCACAGGAGTGAACTAAACAAGTACAGCAGGAATGCAGAATCCTCAGAAAAATGGTTTTCAACCCACTGCGATTTCCAAGGTCGATCGCGTGCCCGTCCAGTGCGGGCTGGCATGGCATGTTAGAACATGATAACATGATGTTTGCACCTGATATGTTTATACGAACACTTATGTGACGCATGCCTAGCAGGAAGCTAACGCTCGAGGGTGTCGTACTCTCTCGCACCTGGTCGACGAGTAAGCTGTCGGGTCGGCATTGTCAGAGGCTCCACCGCCATGCTGTGAACTCGGAAGCAACTGCAAGAGGAAGCGGGGGAGGGCGCGGAAGCGGGGGAGCATGTCTCAAAAGAAAAATCGTGACGTCGTATGTTTGGGGAGGACGGAAGGCAGGGCGCGCATGACGGATGCTGAGGCGACAGAAACGACGACGGCGGGGACGGGGAGGCGGAGGCAGAGGCGCAGCAGCGGAAGGCGGGAGGCTGGAGGAGGGAAGAGGAGCCAGGCGGGAAGCGGGAAGAGGGAGGCGGGAGAAGGAATGAGAGAGGTTGTGATTGAAGCCCCTGTGCTACGAAACGTCTCAGGCAGAACGGGCCAGACCATCTCGCGCGCAACATCTTCGAGCTTCGCATTGTGAGGATGGCTCAAGCGAAACGGGCCAGACCACCTCGCTAGCGACATCTTGGAGCTCAGTATTGGAAGGATGTCTCAAACGAAACGGGCCGGACAACCTCTCGCACACGTTCTGACAAGTCCACGTCGCACTCGCTTCCCGTTAGGTCCTCTCCTGCAACTCCTTTCCTTCTTCCTCCTCCTCCTCCTCCTCCTCCTCCTCCTCCTCCTCCCCTTCTTCCTGCCTGCTCCCTCATCCACATCATCCTGCTCCTCCTCCTCCTTCACCCTTTCATCTCCTCCTCCTCCTTCTCCTCCTCCTCCTCCACCTCCTCTTCATCCCGAAAGGCATCTCGGAGCCCAGAGTTGCGAGGATGTCTCCAGCGTGACGGGCTGGACCACCTCGCGCGCGGCATCTCGGACCCCAGAGTTGCGACGATGTCTCGGGCGAAACGGGCCGGAACACCTCGATCGCGGCGTCTCAAAGCTCCGAGTTGCGGGGGCCTCCTGGGGCCTCCTGGGGCCTCCTGGGGACCTCCTGGGGCTTCCTCCTGGGCCTCCTGTGGCCTCCTGGACCCCACCTGGGGCTTCCTGAAGCCTCTTGGGGCTCCCAGGGGGGGATATCTAACATGTGGCCGTCGGGGCTCCCCAGAATTGGGGGCCACAAGAGCAGGAAAAATCAGCGAATCGACACCGGATGTGTATTCACTTGACACGTTCTGATAAGGGGGCCTCATGGGGCCTCCTGGGAGCCTCCTGGGAATCTCCTGGGGACCCCTGGGGCCTGTCCTGGGCGTCCTGCGGCCTCCTGAAGCTCTCTGGGGCCTCCTGGGGCTCCCAGGGTCCCAGGGGGGAAATGTAACATGTGGTCTTCTGGGCCCCCAGGCTGGACCACCTCTTGTGCGGCATCTGGGAGCTCAGATTTGCGAGAATGTTTTGTGCGAAAGGGGCCGGACCACCTTGCGCACGGCATCTCAGAGCTCAGGGTTGCGAGGATGTCTCAGGCGAGACAGGCCAGACCACCTCGCGCAGGGCATCTAAGAGCTCAGAGTTGCGAGGATGTCTCAGGCGAAACGGGCTGGGCCACGTCGCGCGCGGCATCTCCGAGGTCAGAGTTGCGAGGATGTCTCAGGCGAAATAGGCTGGACCACCTCTTGCGCGGCATCTCAGAATTCAGAGCTTCGAGGATGTCTCAGGCGATACGGGCCAGACCACCTCGCGCGCGGCATCTCAGAGCTCAGAATTTCGAGGACGTCTCAGACGAAACGGGCTGGACCACCTCTCGCGCGGCATCTCGCAATGCAAAAGTGCGAGGATGTCTCAAATGAAACGGGCCGGACCACCTCTTGGGCGGCATCTCGGGGCTCAGAGTTCGGAGGATGTTTCAAGCGAAACGGGCCGGACCATCTCTCGCGCGGCATCAGAGAGCGCAGAGTTGCGAGGATGTCTCAGGCAAAACGGGCCGGACCACCTCGCGCACAGCATATCAGGGCTCAGAGTTTGGAGGATGTCCCAAGCGAAATGGGCCAGACCACTTCTTGCGCGGCATCTCGGAGCCCAGAGTTTCGAGGATGTCTCAAGCGAAATGGGCTGGACCACCTTTTGCGCGGCATCTCAGAATTCAGAGTTGCGAGGATGTCTCAGGCGAAACGCGCCGGACCACCTCGCGCACGGCATCTCAGAGCTTAGAGTTTGGAGGATGTCTCAGGCGATACGGGCCGAACCACCTCTCGCGCAGCATCTGGGAGCTCAGAGTTTGGAGGATGTCTCAGGCGAAACGGGCCAGACCACCTCTCGCGCGGCATCTGGGAGCTCAGAGTTTGGAGGATGTCTCAGGCGATACGGGCCGGACCACCTCTTGCGCGGCATCTGGGGACTTAGAGTTTGGAGGATGTCCCAGGCGAAACGCCCAATCCAAGACAACTCAGAAACGGGAGTTGCGAGGATGTCTTAGGCGAAACGGCCCGGACCACCAAATTTGTTTGATACGAGACCTATGTTGCTTCACATCACCAATTTGGCCCCTGCTGACTTTTTTCAAAATAATATATTGGGATGAAACGCTGCCGCTGGATATATCGAGCACAGTTGATCACAACACAAACGCTCCTGCGAGCCCCCGCCAAAATGGCAAGAAATGGTAAGCTCAGATCCGCATGGCTACATTGCAACCGAACCGCTTGACCACCATCTCGACCGAACTGGCGGAATTCGACCACGCGTCCGACAAAATGCGTTCGACGAGGGATGCGCTGCACAATGCCCCGGCCACGGGCAGCGCTACGAGGGAAAGCGGGCCCTTCGATGTGTCACTTTCAGCGCCCGTGAAAGTGACACCTCCCAGGGCCCACTTAAAGAGCACCAGAAAGGCTCCAAGAAGGCCCCGAGAAGGCCCCAGGGCGGCACCAAGAGGGCTCCCAGAGGGACCCAAGAGAGGCCCCAAGAAGGGCCCAAGAGGGCCCTCCGCGGTGTCACTTTCAACGCCCGTGAAAATGACACCTCCCAGGGCCCACTTAGGGCCTCAGAAAAGCTCTAAGAAGGCCCCGAAAGGGCCACAGAGAGCCGCCCTGGGTTCAACTCCGCGTGGCGGAGTTGGAAGCGATAACTTCAATACCCTACTGGAGGCCTCTTAGGGGCCCTAAGACGGCACTGAAGAACCCCATCGGGGCTTTTTCAAAGGCAGAGGAGGGCGCAAAAAGGGGCCTCAGTGAGCCCCTGGTCTAACTCCACCTGGCGGAATTGGAAGCGATATCGCCCGGCGCCTTCATGGAGCCGCTCGGAGCTTCCAAGACGGCTCCAGAAGGCCCCAGGAGGGCCCCAAGAGGATCGAACGACGATTCCTGGAAGTGCACCAGTGAGACCCTTGTTGACCTCCGCCTGGCGGAGTTGGAAGCGACAATTTCCAGTGCCCTCTTGGGGCCTCTGGGGGGCCCCTCAGAAAGCTTTGGGGAGCACAGTGAAGGCCTTCGCAGGGCCGCGTGAGAGCCGTACCAGGGCCGCATGTGTGCGCGGATGGGGGCGACGAGTGCTGACGCTGACGAATATGAGAATGATGAGGGCGATCAAGGCTGGCCCGAAACAAATCCTGGCGCCATTGCAGGCCGCCGATTATCGGCCACGCCGCCAGGACGACGCCAAGCAACAAAACGACACCAACCAACAAACCGACACCAACCAACAAACCAACAAATCGACACCGACCAACAAAAGGACACCAAGCAACAAAACGACACCAAGCAACAAAACGACACCAACCAACGAAACGACACCAACCAACAAAACGGCACGAATCAACAAAACGGCACTGACCAACCAAACGACAAATCACTTCACGACACCAATGAACAACGCGAAATCCACCGACCGCCAACCAAGCATAAAATCAACCGACACAACGAAACCAACCCATAGAGCCAGACCAACCACTGGATTCGTGAGTCGGGGTAGTCATGGAAGTGAGCCGCTGCAGCCCGCGGAAGCCATTAACAGTGACCAGAGCACCGCAATGCAGCAGCGTCCCCGGGCGGCGGCGGGAGTCTCGGATCTCCCGCGGGACTGGAGCGTAGCGAGTTCGTCCTGGGTCCGGTTTAGTGAAGTGAAGAATTTCGGGGTGCTTGGCAGGCAAAAACCTTCACTTCACTAATCTGGGGCCCCTGGAGCCCCAGGGCGTTTCAGGTCCCCTCGCTGTCTGGGTAGTCCAGGGGGCGCAGTGGCGGCTTACCAGAGGCCCTGTTCCCTAGCCTCACTTGCTTTCACCCGTGGTGCTCGACGGCCGTCTCGGAGCTGTCTTGTGGCGGTCTGGGGCAATCCCGAAGCCTCTTGGAGCCATCCCAAGGCCCCAAGGCGCCACCAATGGGGGCCCCAAGAGAGCTCCCAGAGGGCCCCGAAAGGCCTACAACAGATTGCACGTTCGCGCGAATTCTTTGTACCACTTTGGGGGGTCCCTCTTGGGGCCCTCGGGGAACGTTCTTGGGGCCCTCCGAGGGCCCACTGGGGCCCCGGGAAGGCCCCAAGAACGCTCCCAGAGGGCCCCAAGAATGCTCCAAGAGGGCCCCAAGAGGACCCCCACAAGTGACAAAAACTATTTGCATGAGGGTGCAACTTACTCGGCGCCTCTTGGGGCGCTCTTGGAGCCGTGCTGGGCGCCACTCGTGGACGACATGGGCTGGGCGACGGCATGTGGACCCTGTCGCTTGGGCCATCGGGGGTGCTCCCCAATGGGGCCACGAAGCGTGTGAGCGTATGACGGAATGGGCTGGGCGGCGGCCTGTGGGCCCTGCCTGTGGGGCCGTCGGTGTAGCTCCCCGTGGGGCCACGAAGCGTGTGAAACGTATGCCGAAATATGCTGGGCGGCGGCCTGGGAAACCTGCCGCTGGGATTTTTTTTTGGTGGAGCTGCCTATGGGGGCACGAAATGTTTGAGGGTGTCATCAATGTGGCCTGGGCGACGGCATGTGGACCTTGCCGCCGGGACCTCCGATGAGCTCCTCATGGGGACACGAAGCGTCTGAGGGGCGTGCCGACATGGGCTGGGCGGCGCACTAAGGACCCTGCCGATGGGGCCTTCGGTGGAGCACCTCACAAGGCCACGAGACTTGCGGGGGATGTGGCGAAGCAGAAACGCGGGGGAACAAGGGGGGTGTTTTGATGATGTTGATGAGGATGGTGGTGGTATTGATGATGGAGACGACGAAAATGCTGATGATGCTGATGATGATGGTGATGGCGACGATGACGATGGACGATGACGACGGGGACACGCGGAGAGCAGGGGCAGATACGCGAAGAGGGAGAACGAGGGAGGGGGCCGGAAGGAATGACGCGGGGCGGTGTCTCTTCAAAACGAAGAACCAACACTGCAATATGGTAGGACATTTCTGGACGACCCCCCCCCGTGGCGCGGTCAATGTCCGCGACAACATCGCTGGCACTACGAACGAAATGATCGAACTCTTCCTGCGACGTTACCCGCGGGGTGGATCAGCCAGGGATGGGGGTCGAAACCGCCCCAGCGCAAAGCAAATGTACAATCCTGAGAAACCCCAGCCCACATCAACCGATCCGCAACAAGCACGCAAGCCTTCGACGACCCCAACGCACGTGACATCGCATAACGCGACGCGCCATCGAAAACGTTCGACGCGCGGCCTCGGAATGACATCGGGCTTCATGGAACGCCGAATGGAAAACATGAAAAACCGCCCTGTGGGCTCCGAGACCCAAAATTACTGATGTGAAGGATTTCGGCTCGTCGATTTGAGGACGTCTCTGCTTTGAATTCCCACGGCCGGAGTTAGCTTCTATCACAAGAGCACCCCGTTCAGCAAGCTGTTTGGGGAATGAAGAAATCCGTCCCAAAACTCCATACACTTGTCTCCTTCCCTTCGCTCTCCATCCCGCTATCCTTCTGCCATTGCACTTGCGCACTCCCGCGACAAAAGGTTCATCATATTAGCACTTCGCTGGCCGCCTCTCTGAGCGCGCACCAGCAACGCTCCTCGAGTAACATGGTACCAACCACAGAAGCAAGCAGATGGAGACTGCGACGATTGTGCCGCTAAGCCAGACTGCGGAAGATGAACAGGGAAAATATCAAAGCACGGGGAAAGTTGTTTGACAGATCAATACCAGAGGCGAACTGCACCAAGCCAGCGCACCTTGATCTCCTTGATCGCATCGGCTGTAGTCTTGCTCCAGAAGCCGCCCCCCTTCCCCCAGCCGAAGCCCATCCCCTGTGGTCCTGGCGCGCCCAATCTGCACATGCACGGGCACCAGAAGCACGAATGTCATGCGGGCGATGGAAAGAAACCGGTCTTGCGCGAGATGTCATGGCAATCTTACGCGGCGGCTCACGCGGGCCGCCAGCGCGGCAAGCCACACTGAAAACGAGAAGGCGCTTACGCGCGACCTTCCGAGGGCAGCGTACGCGCCGATGTCGGCGAAGACGCCCCCGCTTTTGGGCGTCGCTCGTGTGTGTGTGTGAGAGAGGGGAGAGTAACGAGCGGATGAAGCAATCGGGCGAGGTGCTATGGTTTATCATCCTGGTGCAAGTCCTGGGCGAGGTGGTCAGACGGTGTTCACTTATGTGACCTCTGCGACGTGCCGCTGTATCCGCTCGAGCATAGATGACTCATGGCATCAACGCTGTCAGCACAAGCTGGCCGGAAACCACTTCATGTGATAGCTGGCCTCGTACATGGCCCCAACACTCGAAGAGAAGACCCCCCCTTGAAAGGAGCCCCTAAACGGAGTCTGACAAGCAATCATATGGCTGACTGTTGGAAGGGCGACATGCCAACTACTTCGGCCCCTCGGAACTCGAAGACGAAGCCCTTTCTGGAGCGCGCCCTATGGGCCCAAGGAAACCTGATCGAATAACACAATAGGGTGATCCCTCCTACGGTTTAACAGGTGCTCCCGCCTCTTACGAATGCTCTTCTGCTTACCTTCTGACGACGGCTCGCCTGGAACAGGACAAGACAGGACGCTGGAAATCGTCCCCGAGGACGGCCCTAAAAGAGCTCGGCGGTGACGCTGTAGCGCAGGAAGCACGATGGCTCCACGGTGCCCGACAAGCGGATGTACAAACCAACGATTGCACATACTTTCACAAAGTTGTAAAGGAGGTGTTGGAGGAGGACGACGAAGCCAACAACTCGCCTGGGAATCGTTTCTGGATGGGCTGGTGGGGAAGCGCGCAGCGTCAATAATCCCACCAGCCTTTTAGGGCGTGAGTGGTTTAGGGGGGGTCCTCGTTTAACCCCCCTTCTTCCCCTTCGGGGAAAGGTTTATCCCTCCTCCTAGCCCCTCGCCATGGGTTTGGAGGGGGGATTCGCGAGACGTTAGAGTGTCCGAAATGGCCTGGGCGAGGAGGCCAACATCGTTGATCTAGTTTAGGTTTCAACCATATGCTGGCCTCCTGGGGGGAATCCTGAGATACTACGGCCGCTCTTTTGATCGATCTCCTCCAAGATGCAAAATTGCCCCCGAGGCTCCCAGAGGTGCCACAAGACGGCCCCGAGAGGTGCCCCGGAGGCCCCAAGAGGCCCCCGGGACTGCCAAGAGACCCCCACGACACCCCAAAAGAACTCCAAGATGCTTTCAGAAGAAATCCGAAGAGACTTCGAGAGGCATCCGAGAGGCTTCTGTCCTTTCTGCTCGCCCTCCTCCTCCTCCTCCTCCTCCGCCTATTCCTCCCCCTTCCTCCTCCCTCCTGTCCCTCCCCCTCTCCCTACTCCCTCCTCCTCCTCCTCCTCCTCCTCCTCCGATTCCTCTTCCATCCTTCCTCTCTTGGGGTACGTCTTACCCACTTGATTCCACTGCATGCATTTCCACATCCCTGATCAGGGCAACTCGCCTGGACATATTTTCTGGATGGACTGGTGGGGTTACGCGACGCGTATAGACAGATCCCCCCTGGCAATACAACAAACTGGTGACGCAAGTACGCCGTGCACATGTAGCCCCGTTTGGGATGCTCTGATGCAAGTGGCCGCGCATGAGAGCCTCAGTCTAATATGGTGAAGGCGAGGGAGAGGAAGAAGGAGGAGGGCGCAATGGGGAGAGAACGAGGATGGCGAGGAGGATAACCAACCTGAATCCACCAACAACACTACAGCATTGAACACGTGACAACAACACAAGAAATTGTCCTTAGTGCAGTCGGTCCTCATAACTTGCAGAGGGAAGTCTACCACCCCCTTGATGCAATACATACATACTCTTATACATCCTACTGTCCTACTGTCAAAGATTTAGGAACACATTGTTCGGTCGAAGGCCTCGCATGATGGCTCCGAACTCCAGCGGGCGTCGGGGGACCTCAATGAGCAATACTTTTCAGCGGCGGTCTTGCTGGCAGCTACTAATTCGGTGCGCCTTCTGAACCAACTCTTTCCGTCTTCAATCGCGCCCCCTTGCGGGAGGTCCGCTTGCGCGGACCCTGTGGGTTCTCGCAAGCGGTCCGACACCCACCACAGAGGTCCCCCGGATGCGGTCAGAGCAGATGCCGTCGGAGGAATGCGCTGCACCGTCGATGCAACACGGACGCATCGGCGACGCCGGCGTGGGGAACCTCGGGCCCCACATCTAGCCGCGTCGCAGCGCGGGCACGGCGACCAAGACGCCGCACTGGCGCCGGGAGGGGCCCCGGGGCTCTCGGGCCGCTCCTCGGAGCCGGGTCGGGGAGCCCACCTCGCTTGGCCGAGGCCCGCCGCGGCCGCAGAAGCCCCCTCGCTCCTCTGGCCATCGCTCGGACGTCCATTCCCTGTGCTTTTTTCGGTTTCGTGTGGGGCTTTTTCGCCACATGATCCTCGATGGTCCTCGCCGAAGGAGACATGCACACGTCCGAGACGGCAACGGCACCGGCCGCGGACCCAGACACTGCATCGGCGATGCGGCGCGATCCTGGGCCCCAGCTGGGAGGCCTCGAGACCGCGGGCGGGCAGAGGCGGACCCCGAGCCTGGGCGCGAGCGGGCTCCCTGCACGCGCGAGCGGGCAGAGGCGGACCCCAATGCGAGCCCTTGCAGGAGCAAGCTCTGCGGACGGACTGGAGGAAGAACCAAGTGCATAAACATGCCTCTCAGAGGTCTGCGCACATTCGTTGGCGGCGCGCGGAACGCGCCAATGGCGGCGCCGGAGGCGCCGCCAGGGAACTGCCCCCTCTCACTGCCCGCCTTGTCGCGCCGCCGACCGATAATCGCCCTCCTCGTCTTTGTTCACCCTCCCTGTGATGGGATTCGTTTTGCTTCCAGGGGCGGGCGGGTGGGCGGACTCCAGCTCGAACACGAGCGTTGGGTGGGTCGGGCACCGAATCAGGGCGGTCGGGCTGGGTCGGGCGGACCGTAGGTCGGGCGATCGTGTCGTCTGGGCCGTAATGGCGGTCGTGTCGGGCCTGGCGGAGCCTTGCTCAGGCCGTCGGGCGAATCTGAACTCGAGCGGTCGGGTCAGGAGGCAGGAAGGAAGGGACGGGTATGGCAGCAGGGAGGAAAGAAAAGGGATCGGAGGGATGAGAGGGAACGGGGAAGCGTGAGGAGAGAGGGGAAGCCTGGGAATGAGGATGGATGATTAGGAGGAAGTGGGGGAGGACGGAGGAGGGAGCAGGGAGAAGGAGGAGAGGAGGAAGCGAAACCCTCGAAACGCTTAATGACCCGGTGCTGACAAGTGCAAGACTTTTGAACCACGCGAGACTAGGAAGGGGTGCCTAAACTCTGAGATTGTTGAGAAACTGGGGGGATAAATCTGCACGTGCTGCGGAGAGCACTGCGGAATTTTGAAGCCCGTGGTAGGTCGGACGGTTGGACTGGTGCGCTCCCCCCCGCGCGCGAGCCGTTGATTAAGCTAAGGTAATTCTAGAACGTGTCAGCCATCGCGGGTGCCAAACAATGGTTTCTAGCAGTCTACGTGGTGCAGTCTACGTGGCATGAAGTACGTGGCGTGGCCTACGCAGTTTAATATTGAAGGGGCACAGGGAGGGACACACAAATAGATAAGCACAACTCCCAGGATGTTCCATAGTTTCCCTTCTCCTATTTTCTCTTATTTTTATGAGTCGATGACGAATCGTGTCTGTGTGTTTGCCCTTCCTGAAATACATGTGACGCAACACAATGGACACCCATGCCAAGAAACACCCAACTTGCCTCAAGGGGGCCATGGGTTATTGGATTTCGAATGCTCTGCTATGGAAAACGTGGCGTTCCCACACCAAAATCAATGGACGTCCTGGGGTCTCCAAGGTGGGCTTCTTGTGGAAAGTTTCTTGTGGTCGAGCTCCTGATGCAAACTCTGCCGAACTTGAACCCGCAACTTGGTTTGCAAAACCCATGCGGCGGCGATTGTGGTGACTGCTTGGCGCTGGCTGGCGCATCGCTGCGGCCGCGCTAAGGCACGCTCGCGCGCACAGCGGCCAACTACGCGGCACTGGTGGTGTTTACCGATGAGAATTTCCCCACCCGTCTCGCAGGTCGCGCTGACATACCGGCATGTCAGTGCAAGTCGATAAGTCGGGCCGCCTTGGCGAGCGGGCACTTCAGTGCGGGTCGGTTGCTCGGGCGGGCGCGGTATCATGGCGACGTCGACAAAAGCAGATGCGGTGACGATACTAGCGATGCTGGTAGCGATGGTGACAGTGACGACGGCAAGGCCAATGACGGCGCCGATGCTGGTCACGCCGATGACGATGATGGCGTCCATGCGTCGGCGATGAAAGCTTGGAAGGATTTCGACATGCGCGCGCGGTCGATGGGCGCGAGTGGCCCGCATGGTATGATTTTACAACGATCGTTCTCAGCCCCCGTCAGAACGCGCGGAAAGACGTTCGAATGAGTTCGACATGTGCGCGCGAGAGGCCCGCCTGGTCGCATTGGATGTGAAGGTTGCAGAACCCTTGGTTTTCATAACGATCAACAAGAACGCGCGCATATGCTTCGAAACATAAAATGCAAACCATTGCTGTGTAAAACATTTCGCGAACCTCGATCATGAAATCCGTACTAAATGTAAGGTGTTTGAGAGATGTTGTCATGCGCGCGACGCCGCGCACTTGTGGACTTTGTCCCAAGCTTCTGCATGGGATTCGTGCCCCCAGCAAGCGCGCAAGGGTATTCGGCAGATCCGACCTGCGCGCGCGAAGAGGCCTTCTTGGTTGGATGTGATGAACACGTAAAACAACAATCGCGTTCATCATAATTGGCAAGTGCGCGGACTTATTTTGACAAGCCATGTTGTTAAACCGTTGG